CCCCCCGCCCCTGCAGCCTCTGCACCCCCCGCCTGCCCTACTCCTCCTCGCCCTGCAGCCTCTGTGCCCCCTGCCTGCCCTGCCCCTGCAGCCTCTGCACACCCCCCCCCCCTGCAGCTTCTGCTCCCCCGCTCACCCGGCAGAGGGAGAAATGCAGGCTCCACGTGGAATCACACACTGCCGGCTGCTCTGTGGGGGAGGAGGGACCGGGGGAGGGGGAGGGACTCTGGCTGCTAGAGGCCCTAGTGGCTGCGAGTGGCTTTCAATCAGGCCAGGCGTCCAATCAGCCGCGCCGCACTCCACATGAGGGGAAAGGGGAAATCCCGGACATTTCTACTGGATTAGAAATCCCCCCCGGACGGCCATTTAACACTGAAAAAGCCGGACATGTCCGGGGAAACCCGGACGGATGGTAACCCTAGCTTTCTCCCACCTCCAATTGGCAAGCCCACTCCATGCCTTCCTGGCAGACAATCACCTGGCCTCAGTTATTCACACCTTCATCACCACCCATCTGGATGACAGCAGTGTAATAGACCTGGGCATGAAGCCTTCAGCCCTTAGAAAACTCCAACTAGTACAGAATGCCTCAGTGCATCTCCCCAAGAACACAGGCTACCATGAGCCCATCAGACCCTACACAGACTCCCCTTAGAAATGTCACAACCGGGGCTTGGGCAGTCAGACCTGGTGGTCACAGCCAAGGGGCAGGAACAGGTCAGGAAGGCAGGATCTGGGTAGAAGTCAGCAGAGCAGGGCTCAGGAGCCCATCAAAAAGGCAGGGTCCAACAAAGCAGCCAGCCAGGAACTAATCCATTTGCACAAACAACTTTCTGTGTCTCCTTCTGGTTTAAATAGTGCAGCTGGACCAATCGGCGTGGCCAGCTGCTCCTCCAATCAGGACTCATGTGGGTGGTGCCTCTATTGGGCCAGGGTTCCATTAGCCACTCAGCCCACTAGTTGTTAACAAGCCACTGGGTGGCAGCCAGGGGGCAAAGGTTGCTTGGGAACCTATGCACCCCTGTTCAGGACCTGTAGTGCCTCACCAGACCAGGTGCAAGGTCTCAGCCCTGTTTTTTGGGACGCTCAATGACCTGGGCTCAGGCACCTAAAAAAGCCTAAACCTCCAGCCGGGGGCTGTGGTTGACAGCTCTGCTTCTCAGGTCCATAGAACCATAGGGTTAGAAGGGACCACAAGGGTCATCAAGTCTAACCCCTGCCAAGATGCAGGATTTGTTGTGTCTAAATCATCCCAGATAGATGGCTCCAGCCTCCTTTTGAAAACCTCCAGTGGAGGAGCTTCCGCAACCTCCCGAGGCAGTCTGCTCCATTGTCCTACTGTTCTTACCATCCAATGGGATTCTCCACCGGCAGGGAAAGCTCATCTGTGCTGGAGACAGGGCTTCCTCAGGGGCCAGTCCCAGACTATGGAGCAAACTCCCCCAGGAATTATGGACTCACCACTCCCTGTGCAGGCGGTATGGCTCTGCCTGGCCTGCTCTGAAAGAAACAGGACCTTTAAAAGCAGCCCCTCCCCCAAATCTCTCCCAAAACACCCCCTCCCTGGCACAAAAAGTTCTCTCTCTAGGAAGCCAGGATCATGTTACTTAATGCCTGGCTGGAAGGCACCCAGATACTTGGGTCATGGAAAAACCATTCAATAGGATAGAGTTCACCGAGGTCCTAGCTCTGCCATGGTGCTTTGGTCTCATCACTAGCAGTGTGAATTGTGGACCCGTGGGCCACTGGCATCTTCTCTGGAAACATTTTGGGCTGTACTGTGCTCCTCCCCAGCCAATGCAGCCTCCATGTGGCCTGGTACCTGCAAGGCGTAGTCTGGCCCTATCCTGCCTCCCCTGAGGGGCCAGCCACTGCTCTGGTGTTGCGTGAGACCAGAGTCTCCAGCATCTGTCTTGGGCCCATTATCTGCTCCTGAGAACTACAGACTGAGCACAGCCTCTCACTTCTGCTTTGAGCTGCGGGTTTGAGTGATGACAGAGAAGGGGATTTCCTGTGGGAAAATCAGGCAATCCCATTGCAGACATCAACAAGAGCTTTCATTTTCTCCAGAAAAAGCCCCCTAGCAGGCTCTGGAGCAGCGAGATGGTGGCATGGCTGGTGCTGGCTCTGCTCCTGCACAAAGGTAAGAGTTCTCACCCCTCCTCACCCTGCTGTTACTTACTGCGGTCTCTGCAGACTGACCTTTAACCAGTGAGTGGATGGAGAGCTGGCTCTCAGCCAGTCCCTGATGCTAACTCAGCCACAGGGCTCACCACAGAAGTGAACATCCCTGGAACACGTCAGACCTGTGTGTGTATCAGCGCGAGGGGAGCAGCTCCTTTCACCCATGGGAGCAGCCAGCAGTGTCGCAGGGCAGCTGGGTGAGCCATATGAACACGTATGCCAGTGCAGCTTCACACGGCTCTCTGTGGGTTGCTGCAGGTTCATGACTAGTTGTAATCGTGCTTAGCAGCCCCAGCCAGGGACCAGGACTGTGGTGCTAGGCACTGTACACAGAACAAAAGGACAGTCCCTGCTCCAAGAACCTGACAAAATATATTTGAGAGACAAGGGGTGAGGTAATCTCTTTTATTAAACCAACCTCTGTTGGTGCGAGAGACAGACTTTCTAGCTTACACAGAGCTCTTCTGCAGGTCTAGGAAATGTATTCAAAATGTCACAGCTAAACACAACTGGAACAGATTGTTTAGCACATTTCAAGAGACCATTCAAGGTGAAATGGCCCATTAACACCTCTCTACTCATGGGTGGGGGAAGCTGCAGAGGAGGTTAGTGGGTTACAGATTGTTGTAATAAGCCACAAGTCCAGTATCTCTGTAGAGTCCATGATTTTCCGTGTCTAGCAAAGTTATGAATTTAAGTTCCCAGGCTCATCTTTTGAAGGTGTTGTGCAGGTTTCCTTTGAGGCTGAGGACTGAGAGATCAGATATGCAGTGATAACTTTGTGAAGTATTTTTGCCTTCTATCATTTTTCTGTGTGAGTTCATTGAAGAGTGTAGTGATTGTCTGGTTTCACCCACATAGTGGTTACTGAGGCATTTGGTGCACTGGATGAGGTACACTATTTGTTTTAAGTATCAGGGGTTAGCCGTGTTAGTCTGTATCCACAAAAACAACAAGGAGTCCGGTGGCCCCTTAAAGACTAACAGATTTATTTGGGCATAAGCTTTCATCGGTAAAAACCCCACTTCTTCAGATGCATGGAGTGAAAATGACAGATACAGGCATAAATATATATTGGCACATGAAGAGAAGCGAGTTACCTTACAAGTGGAGAACCAGTGTTGAAGGCTAATTCAGTCAGGGTGGATGTGCTCCACTCCCAATAATTGAGGAGGTGTCAATACCCAAGAGAGGGAAAATTGCTTTTGTAGTGAGCCAGCCACTCCCAGTCCCTATTCAAGCCCAAATTGATGGTGTTAAGTTTGCAAATGAATTGTAGCTCAGCAGCTTCTCTTCTAAATCTGTTTTTGAAGTTTTTATGTTGAAGGATGGCTACTTTTAAATCTGTTATTGAGTGTCCAGGGAGCTTGACGTGTTCTCCTACTATCATTTTGTTTGATAATCATGTGTAGGACCCATGGAAGGGGTCTTTACAGGTATGTTTTGGGGGATGTTGATCATTGTAGCAGTGGAGCTATGTCTCCAGGTTTTGCATCTGTTGTTCTGGCAGGGTCTGGTGCCGCTTTGAGTTGGTGGGTCCTGGTCTGTGGGGAGCTTGCTTCTGATGATGAGCTTGGTAAGGTTCGGGGCGGGGGGGAGGGCTTCAAGGCCCAAAGAGGGGGCTCAGGAAAAAAATATTTCAGGATGTGATACCCATCGAGTATGGGTTGTAATTGTTTGATGATACCCCATATGGGTTCCAGTGTGGTGTGATAGGTGACAACTAGAGGTGTGTGGTTGGAGGGGATTCATTTCTGTATTGAAGCAGGCTCTCTTGGGGTATTTGGGTGGCCCATTCCATAATAAGATGTACTTCTCTGGTGGAGTGTCCTTGTTTGGTGAAGGAAGTTTTAAACGTGTTAAGGTGTGTATCCTGGACTTTCTCCTTGGAGCATATTCTGTGGTACCTGAGGGCTTGGCTGTAGAGAACAGATTTCTTGGTGTGTTTGGGGTGGTTACTGGATCTGTGAAGGTAGGTGCAGTGATCCGTGGGTGTCTTGTATACAGTTGTCTGTAGGGTTCCATTGTTGAAGCTGATTGTGGTGGCGAGGAAGCTGATGCTGGTGTGGGAGTATTCTGGAGAGAGTTTATCTTTGTGAAATGTCAAATTCTGTTTGTGTGGGGGCCTGGACTTTCTTTTTATTGGGAGTCTCAATTTGCAGCATTTAACTTTAAAAGGATACGTCAGTTAAATATCTGACTTCAGCAAATTCCCTTGTTGCTACATCGCAGGCTGTATCTGGAGCAAGCTGGGGGCTGCTTTGTTGGTTCCTGTCTCACCATAGTAGTGGCCACCCTGCTTCCAACTGCTGGGACATTCGCTCTTAACTGGCAACCTGCACAGAGATTTTTAAATGGGGCTTGTGCTCTTTTTAGATTCTTTGTGATGGAGAAAGAGCAGAGAGGTGTGGGACGGGTGCGGTTTGGAGGCGTGGAATGGGGAGGGTGATTCAAAGTTTGTTGTTTGATGGTTCCTTTTTGCCTTAGGAAAGTCTGGTCTTGTTTTTGCCTGGAGGGCCCCTGGGCATCTGTGAGTTTCCGGTGGGTGCCTGCTGGGGGAAAGGCCCTAGCACTCCTGTGACATGGATGCCTTTGGTCCTGGCAGCCTCACCTTCCCAGGGCACCGCAGATGGGCAGCCTGTAGGTAGGGGAAGAGGGAATTTGGGAAGGTGACACCAGAGGCAAAGATGGGAGGGGCTGTGGGGACTCTGCACTGGCCACCACAGCCAAGCCAGGCTCAGCCAGGGAGATGCCAAAGATGCCCAGGGAAGCAAGGAGAAGGCTGCTTTGGGGAGAGGAGAGCCACTGGGGCCTCAGATATGCTGCTTCTATCCCAGCTCCTCCCATAACCCTAACATGAAGGCGTCTGCCTGTTGCCTCGTTCCAGCCCCACCGGCCACAGCCCGTGCCACCGTGAAGGTGACAGGAGTGGTGGGGAGAGCCGTGACTCTGGGAGCCGACGTCCCCCCAGGGTTCCAAGTCAGGGATGCCATCTGGAGGTACCTGGCGCCAGCAGAAGAGCTAGTGGCCACCTACTTCAGGGGCTCAGCGGAGACCCTGTACCAATCCCGTTTCTATGGGCGGAGCCGGCTCCACGGTAACCTCACCCTGGAGATCAGTCCGGTGGAACTGGGAGATAGCGGCACCTTCTCAGCCCTGCTGGTGAACACACGAGGACAGACGGAGACGCGCGTGCTGCACCTGGCCGTCTATGGTACGCCGGGTTGGGCTCCTGTTTCCTCGCCACTTAAGGGCAAGAGGGTGATATGCTTGGAGCAAGGCCAAATTCTCCATGGACAAACACTCTGTGCACTCTCACCCGAACCAGCAGGCAACAACCCGCTGCCCGGCGCCATCTCTGTCCCCGCAGGCTGCCAGGCCCAGCAGCTGACTCTGACAGAGGCCCCGTGAGAGAGCTGGGGCTGCTGAGCTGAGCTCCCAGGCAGGCAGGGCCCGGGACAGGGCACCCACCCTACCCAGACTCCTTGGGTATTTTATGTTCTAATACAAAGCTCTGGGGGCAAATGTCCTGCTGGCCTGGCAAAGGGGCATTAGCCTGTGGTGTGAGGCCTGGCCCAGCCTCTGCTGCAGAGTGTATAACTCGGAGATCCACAGGTTACAAGGCCAGAAGGGATCGTGTAGTCCGCCCTCCACTCCCTGCATAACTATGGAAGGCGAGAGCCATTGCCATCATGGGGCTCACCGTCTGGGGAGCCAGAGCCAGCTGCCCCGGGAGGTGACAGTGTGTCCCATCGCCCTCATTCTGGGCTCCCACTAGGCATGTCCCAGAGGGCAGGGACGGGGGAGCATTGCCCTTCTGTTAACCAGGAAATGCTGTCACAGTCACAAGGCTGCACGTAGGGAACTTGGGGTTGTGACTTCCCAATTGCCTTTATTTCTGCTCTTACAAAGCACCTGCCAGGCTGACACCACAGCCCTTTGGCTCTGGATGACAAGGGACCCTATGAGATGGGCAGTGGATGAAGCTGCCCCCACTGGCTGTCACAGCCTCATACCCCCCGTGCCCCTCCCCACACATACACGTGGGGCTATTAGGGCTGAAGTTTGAAAGCCCTGCCCAGTGGGAGAGCAGCACCAAACCTCCAGACAGAGCCCGGTATTTCTAGGGGTAGATCTGGTGAAGAAGTGCAAATGGGTGTATTCATGCACTAATACCAGGTGGTCCCCCGGGGAGGTGGGGTTTGAGTATCCAGCCAGGGGGAGATTACTGGCTTTGACCCCTCTGCTGTCCTGTCTGCTCTGTGTCCAGAAGTGGTTTCCCGGCTGACACTGCAGGTGTTCACATCAGAGAGCAGCCGCAGTGGTTCTGCGAGGGTCTGTGAGGTGTTCCTGACCTGTGTGGCGGCTGGTGGCACCAACGTAACCTACAGCTGGGACAGGACGGATGGCGAGGTGCTGAGCATGGACAAGCACTCTCTCTTTGAGGCTGGCCTGGTCCTATGGGCTAAGCTGGACCCCTCGGATAGGCAGGTGTCCTACACCTGTACTGCAGCCAACGCTGTCAGTCGGGAATTAGCTACCATCGCACCCTGGGAACACTGCCAGAGGGAAGCAGGTATGTCATGTTTCACCCATCTCCCATGCCCAGCCCAGTGCCCAGCCACTTGGCATGAGCCAATGGCCCAGCTGTCTGCAGCCAGAAGACAGTGCCCGGGAGATGGATTTTGTGGGCGGGCATTTACTTTTGATACCAGATTTGCCACCATGTGAAGGTGGATGAGGTGGAGAGGGAGTCACGCTCCCTGGCTGGTGAAACTTCACTGAGGATTATCAACCAGAGAGTCTAAAACTACAGTCATATCTAGATTGTTCTGAGTGATCCAAGCCCTGGTCAGACCCCCACATGGGGGCTCTTGTTTACCTGCACAATTGCTCAGTTTAAAGGTTGGGAGTTGGCTGCCCATGTTAGCCCCTTGGTGCCGCAGCTGATACTACAACCAAAGGGAGTGCACGAGTAAGGGCCACATTCTGCTCTTGTTTACATGGTTGTCAGTCCAGAGTCAGTCATTGGCCTCACTCTGCATTTTCACCAGTGTAGCTGAGAGTAGACTTTGGCCTGGACTGTTGCAAACACAGGACAAGATTACACAGGAAAAGTCCATGGAAGGGCCAGGAAATTCCACAAATCTTAAGCTGCAAGAAATCCTCCCCTGCTCTGGATCGCAGAGGAACTTCAGCTTCCCCCGCGTTTCCTGCTGCCTCAGCTCACTCTTGGCACCGTCAGGAGGGGGGGCGGGGTGGTGTTCGGAGAATGCTTCTCCTTTGACTTTTCCTGCTGCTCCTTTTAGCCGGGTTCAGTGACTGTCCTGGCAGAGCAGCAGGAGGCTGCGGATCAGCACTAGGGATGGCCGGGAATGCAGGCTCAAGTGCAGACAGGCTGAAGTGCTGGGCAGTCTGAATTTCCCTGTGACTCTCCTCCCCGACTTGGTCATGGCTCATGGAGTGTGAGAGGCTTTTATGGTGCAGCAGGTGGCTGGGATTCCTGTTCCCAATGCCCGGCGCCAGCACAGCTACAGAGCCGGTGCGTACTTGGCCGGGGAGGGGTTCCCTGCCCAGCAGAGCCCACAGCACTCATGACCTCTTCCTCTTCCCTGCTCAGGTTCGGAAGATGCCGTGTACGACTATAGGAACATCCTGCTCATTGCTCTGCCCCTCTCTGTCCTGGTTCTGGCAGGGGCTGTCTTCGGGCTCCTTCTCTCTTGGAAGTGCTCAGGTAGGAGCCATCTATCATAGGAATCACTGTTCACTGACCTTGCTCTGCCAAGCACCGAAGAACCCCTGTGTGAGCTGGACACACCTGCAGGAGGGGCATGCACTGCCAGGAGAATGTGGGGGGATGGGCAGTCTGATACCACGGGGATGGGCATGGTGCAAATCCCCAGGCAGACGGATAGGGAGGGAGGGAGGTGCAGGGTGTCACAGCGCTGCTCTGTCCTTGTCTCCCACATAGAAACCAGCTCTGCCTGTGGGGGCAGGTTTCCAGAGACAACACGAGAGCTCGATGCTCAGTCCGCATTAGCCTACGGTGCCTTTGGAAATCTCCCCCTTAGGAAATGAAAGTGGGAACTTCCCACCCCCACCCCCGGCAGCTCAGGGGCTGTGACACAAACAGGGAATCTGATTTTCATAGCTCTACGCACAGGGCTCCCCTTCCCCTCTTCGCTCGGGTGGAATCTGATGCCACAAGGCCAGTGTGAGGGGCCTTCTACCACCAGGCTGGATTGCGGCCTCCACAGCCTTGCCAGCCTGGCTGGCCAGGTGACCAAGCCATGGCCCCAAACTTCCTCCCCATAAGGTGCTAGCATTAGACTGCTAGGCCAGCCCCACCCAGTGGCTCTACTGGAAGGCAGGGACCGGCTGCACCATAGTCCCTGTGAGAGAGTTTCAGGGGGTGACTTCCAGCTGCTTTCAGACAACGACCTGTAGCTGTGGTGTAATGGCCATTTGGAAACATTCCCGCTGGTTCCCCACTCAACTCGCATTTGGAACCAAGCTAAAGGGCTGTTTGTCTGCTGGGGCTGCTGGCTCCCTTGCTGAAGCTGACAGGGAACAGAGAGAATCTCCATTAGGGAGACTCTGTAGGGGCAGTTGTGAGCCAGTTGGGTAGACGAGCCGAGTCCCGTGGCAATTGGGTCTTTTGGCTGGGACCTTAACACCTGTCCTATCTGTGTAGACATTGTGCGTCCCATGACTCTGTTAGTGTTGGAGTTTCCCCCGCGATCTTGGCTAAAATTCCCCTTGCCGCTCTGCTGCGCTGGGTGTCTGCTGCCTCCCGGCTCCCCAGATATTGCCGCATTTCAGCAGCAGTGCACGTCTTTAGCCTGAGAGGCCTTGCGAGGTGCTACAGAAATGCAAAGGTGTGCTCGCCCCTCGTTTGTGTTTGTGTGTGAATGGTCACTGGGCAGAGAACAAATATATTTAACACACACCCCTCCCCGAAAGCTCTGCTACTTTTGGGAATGACATTTGTTTTCCCCTTCCTTAGGGAAGCAAAGAACGAAACCACTGTTCGACGCCTCAGAGTCTGACGCGGCCTCTGTCTAGGAATTGACACTGCGTGCAGAGCAGAGGCGTGTCCTTTTGGGAGAGCAGCCCTCCTTTCTCTTTGTCGCTGGCGAGGCAGAAAGCCCACATTCTCTTTTCTTCTGGAGAACTTCTCAGGGGGCTGCCAGCTTCCATTGACAGCTGGGTGACTGTGAGAGTCACTGTGGGTCAGGATCCCAGCACAGACTTGCTTTCGGCCACAGAACCATTAACCAGCCCTCAGAGCAGTCACTCGCCCTTTGCACCGTGTTTCTCTCTCAGTTCCCCACAGACCCCCACCTTAAAAACCATGCAGACATTTTTACTGAATTTGCTTGTTTCTGTCTACAATTTTCGTCAGCATTGCTGAATAGATCTGAATAGTCCTCTGCTCAAAAGCATCCTCCGGGGAACTCAGACCTCACTAGGAAACCCATTAGCAGACCTTGTCTTCACTGCCAAAAAAAGAAACAGGGATGTCCTTACCTAGAGTTTGCTGACTCGAGGTGACTGGCTCAAGGTGTAACTGTAGGGAAGGCAAGGCAGTTTGTCATTTCACACGAGGTGGCCAGTTGAGCTAACCCTTGGCCCTCCCATAGTCTTTAACTAACCAGCTAACTCGGATGAAGATGCTAAACCGCCGTGTCTTTGTGAGGGTTTTACTTCTAGTTCCTACATTCATAGATTCTAAGGTCAGAAGGGACCACTGAGAGCATCTCATTGGTCCCTTCTGACCTTAGTGTAGGAACTAGAGGTAAAACCCTCACGAAGACACGGCAGTTTGGCATCTTCACCCGAGTTAGCCGGTTAGTTAAAGACTGTGGACCACTGAGAGCATCTCACCTGGCCTCCAAGATAACACAGGCCAAAGAACTGCCCCCCAAATGGTTCCGGCTTGAACTAGAAAATACCTATCAAGTTAAGAGCACTTTTTTCCCAGTGAAAACAAGCTATGTTGGGTGCTGAGCATTCTTGAGTATCTGGCCCTTATTTAGGTGTCTAACTGAGAATGGAGCCTTTATGAAAATGCAGGTCCAGCTGTAGCTGCAGAGTCCATGGCAATCTGGCCCTCACTCCACCTATATAGGTACCTGTTACCACTCTCAAGACTTTCAAAAGAGAAGTTTATCTGAGTATAAAGTACAAATTGTCTTCAGCGTGTTCTGAAACTGCTTGGAAGTTCAGGGGCCTGGAATCCACTGTTAGAAGTTGTGTGGTAGACCTGGAAAAGGATTGCAACATTCCATGCATACACGTATATTCACACACACACGAGCATGCGTGCGCACACACTCACACTCTTTCATAGCATTTGTTGAATATGAGTGTATCTTCAGTAACTGTAACTGAATGTGACCAGAAAGTATCTGTTCATTATGTACGTTGTGTGATTTTTTAAACTGTGTAAGATTTATGGAAACACATGTAAGATTTATGGAAAAGAATTAGAACTACATATAAAAGACAAATTACAAAAATCTCCACCCAGATTTGTAGCTGCATGTTTGAAAGTGTGACCAAAGGTTTGCAATTCTCCCAGTAATGAGTTGACAGTAAAATGTTGAACGGTTCAGTATTACATGTATTGTAAAATGGTATATGCTAGGTAGCTCAGTCAGTAGACTGTGAGATTCTTAATCTAAGGGTTGTGAGTTCAAGCCCTAAGTTAAACACTTGATTCTACTGCCTTAAGCATATTTTTTGGGGATTGGACTAGAAGACCTCTTGAGGTCTCTTCCAACCCTAATATTCTATGATTTGGGCAGTTATATGTGGTATATTCAAAAACACCTGACAAAACACCTGGCTGAGGAACTTTCTAGACAGTTAATGCTGCTTTTCAGTAGCTTTTGGAACACTAGGGACATTCCAGAGGACTGGAAGAAAGCATATGTGCCAATATTTGAAAAGGCTATGCAGGACAACCTTTGCAATTATAAACCAATGAGCCGGACATCAGCTACAGGCAAAATAATGGAAAGTCTGATACAGGACTTGATTGAGAAAGAATTAAAGGAGGGTAATGTAGTTAATGCCAATCAACATGGATTTGTGGGAAATAGATCCTGTCAAACTAACCTGATATCATTTTTGGATGAGATTACAAGCTCGTAGATAAAGATAATAGTGTTGACATTAGATACTTAGAGTTCTGTAGGGCGTTTGACTTGGTACTGCATGACATTTTGATTAAAAAACTAGCCTGATACAAAATTACCATGGCACACATTAGATGGATTAAAAATTGTCTAAGAATGTGATTATAAATGGGGATCATCATGGAGCAGGTGTGTTTCTAGTGGGGTCTTGCAGGGATCAGTTCTTGGCCCTTTGCTATTTAACATTTTTATCAGTGACCTCACAGAAAACAGAAAATCATCACTCAAGTTTGCAGATGACTCAAAGTTTGGTGGCGGGGTAAATAACGAAGAGGACTGGTCACTGGATGGTAATATTATAAATGCCAGTCAACATGGTTTATGAAAAATAAATCCTGATAGCAAAAGGAAAGGCATTAAACCAAGAGGGTTTTGATGTGCTGCCCCTAAAAGATTGGCTAAGACAGTAGTGCATGACCAGGGTATGAATGAGGATGCGCCATTTGAAAAGGTTTGCTGAGTAAAGGTGGAGCTGCTGAAAAGACCCTTCAATCTTTCCTTGCCACCACCTGTAATCAAATGGCTTACGAAGAGATGTTACATGGGCAAGGTTGTAAAAACCCAATACACAACTATATGGTTGGTGCAACCGATGTCTGAGACCCCAGAACCATGCAATGAGAGCCACACAACCATGGTAATGGATGATGAATGCGATCATGAGGACAGCTCTTGGACTCAACTGTTGTTTGAGACGCCAAAACCTAATCAGGAGACCCCGAATAATTCCAATGGCAGGGTGCATAGGGCCAAATCACAGCTAAGTTGCAAGTAGAAATATCTAAGGGTAAACAAGAGGTGCTGATGATAGAAACTGGTCACAATCACGCAAATGGCTAGGGAATGTAGCACCCAGTCAAAACTTTGGTGGCTCAAGAGCATCAGCTAAGGAGGCCTCTTGACACACAACACAAGGCAAAGGTTTTAAGCACGTTATAAAAGTGAAAATGGTGCCTTATCTGTGTTTTTTCATTAAATCTGTCAGCATTTGAGCGATGACTCTTCAGAGGCCTTGGAGACTTTGCTTACCATCCCAGTGAGTACGCCCCTTTAACAAGCACTGTGCATTTGTTTGTGTTTGTGTAAGGGGTGTGCTGATAGGGACCCACAATGCCCTCAGTGCTGTAGGCGTAGGACTGTGCTTTGATATGATTTGCAAGAGGTGGAGTCAAGTAGATCTGCGCTGGCCTGGTCATATGACACCATACCCCATAATGGGGCGTTCCATAAAAACACACTTCCCACAATCATTTCCAATTGAAATTTTATTTGCAGTCTCTCAGCTGCTCAGAGATTTATAATAAGAAATACAGGTAAGGCACCATTTTAGTTTTTATAACATGCTTTAAACCTTTACTTTTTGTGTCAAAAGGCCACATTGGCTCATTTAGGCCCATTGAAATCAGTGGAAGTTAGGACCCTAAATACCTTTCATAGGGTTGCCAACCCTCCTGATTTCGCTGGAAGTCTCCCAAAATTTTAGGCTGCTAGAAATCCGGTGGCGCAGTAGGGCTAAGGCAGGCTCCCTACCTGCCCTGGCCCCATGCTGGGGGGGGCAGGGGTCTCCACGCGCTGCCTGTGCCCCAAGCGCCACCTCCGCAACTCCCATTGGCCGGGAACCTTAGGGGTCCACCAATGTAATCAAGAGAGTCCACGAACGTGCCTGCAACCAGAAGTGATGCGGGGGGGAGGGGAGATGCGGGATCACATGCCCTCCCCAGATTTCTGCCTTCCATTTAGCACTAGCCCCCCAGTACCTAACAAGTAACCTAAAATAGTTGCAAACCGGACTTGATTGTCAACAGCTGTAATGAAGAAAGAAGAACATCTGGTGTGAAATGCATCACCTTGGAGCGAGTGATTCATTGTAGACCTTCTTGAAACCCTGGAAAGATATCCTCTCTACTGTACTTCGCATTCTTTCTGTCTCTTCCTGTGTACTTCTCTTCTTTTTCACATTAAAGTCATTCGGCATCATAATACCAGCCTCCTGGTTTTCCTTTCTGCTCCATTTCTCATTTACAAACTGTGGCCCAGATTCTCAGAACTCCTTAGGCACCTAACTCCTATTGCAATCACTGTGAGTATGGCACCTACGGCTATGTCTATGCTACAAAGTTAAATTGAGTTAAGTTACGTCGACGTACAGTCACCGCTGTAATTATCTCACTGTTGCATTTCAACACCAGATGTTTGGGGAAGGGTTTGCAATGCCTCATCAGGGCAGGTTCAGTGTCACATGATGCAAGTTTCTCAATCCCATCATTCAATGGGCGTCCTACGAGGTTTCCAGCTGCTTTTCAACTGTCCTGTGCAAAATGCTGCTGTTACTGTCAAGCTAAACCTTAATTCCAGCCTCATTTCACTCCAAACATTTTCCACCTCCTCCAGTAACGTGGACCCTTCACCTGTTAAGCACACATTTGCTGAGTGTGCGGTGAAGGTTTCTCGTATGGCACACGTTATGATGAATTTTGCTAGTGCAGTGTCATAGCATACGTGCAGGCAGCTGGAGCAGCCTCACCTGCCCCAGAGATCTCAGCCAAAGTCACACACCCCTATTCCCACCACCGAGGTATTGGTGCAGCACACAGGGAAACTGAGGCACACACAGCATTCATGCAAAACAGTAAAACTCACATAGGCTGAAGAGTCCCGAGCTTAGCCTGGAGAAATGATGCTTAAACTCCTTAAAGCATCCTCCAGCTGGCCAAGCCAGAGCAGGCCTCAGCCAAGCGGGACCGGCTCCATCTTAGGCTCTGTCCTTCTCTGACAGTCCCAGGTGGGAGCAGCCAGCCTCTCCAGACGCCCGCTCTTGTTGGAGTCTCTGCGCAGCTTCCCTGCTGAGAGGTGGCAGGGACCGAGGCGGTGGCTGGGATGCTGATAAGGAGTCGCTCTCAGCTGGTTCCAGCCAGCTCCTTAGCAGTCCATCCATTGCGCCCCAGACTACAAGGTGACCCCCACACCTCACATCTCCTGTGCCGGCCCAAAGCAAACTTAACCCTTCTACCCCGGCTGGGGGAAAGTACAGAGGGAAACTCATAAAAATATTCCAGAAAATCCTCACTTCATCACAGTTCCATCCAGGCAGACAAAGCAAGAGAGAAATGCTGTCAAGTGGGGTCAGTATTAACTTGGCA